TTTTTTTTTTTTTTTTTTTTTTTTTTTTTCTTTTTTTTTTTTTTTTTGTTCCTCTCCTTTCCATACAGCTACTGTACAAAACCAAACACAAATTTATAATAAATACCTAACACAAGAGGCTCAGTATGTTGCTACAATCCTTCACTGAAGGGAAACATATATACACACATATATATCCTAATATATAACCTCTTTGACTTAAATCAGCGTAAAGGCTACGTGTTTCTATGGGAAGGCTAGGGCAGGAATCCCACTTAACATCACCCAGACCCCACACCTCAACTGAGCATCACTGCCTGCGGTCCCCATCCTCCTCCTTGCTGGAAAAGCAGCAGGATTTGCCTGCGGCAGGGAGTTTTTGCATCTAAGAAGCTCCGGCTAAGCGACTGCGCAGTGAATATAAAAAAAAACCTGGAAGAGACCCCTGGCGTGCAACAACTCCTGTGTGATAAATACAGACGTTTTCCTTGGCACCATCTCAGGCTGAAATTTCTGACCCATCCTAAATGCTGGTTACGACGCTGGAGAGGAAACACACACTGGCCTTTGAGTTAAAACCCTCGCAGACTCAAAGGGGAAAAAGAAAATAACCCTGCAAGGCTACATGACTTTAGCATCCAGCTATTTGTTAGAGCGAGAGAGGGCTTAAATTCCTGGAGATTAATTAGCGGACGCACAACATTGCCCAAAGGTAGGTCTGAACGACAGCCCAAACAGCTCTGCATCCAAACTCTGCAGCTGGCCTTTATTTTTTCTTCTTTCCTAAAACAAAAAAGGAGCCAAGCCCTTGGTACCCTCAGTCCTTGGCTGTTGCACCCTTGGTTTCAATAGGAATCACCTATGGGAGATAAAAGTTGACCATCTAGGGTTTTCAAATAAATGGTAGGGTTTCTGGCACGGCTTCGGGGGCATGGCTCACCCCACAGTCCCATCCCGAACCTGCCTGGCCAGCGAGAAAAGGGTCTCACGTGAGCTTAGCTCAGGCAAAAGAGACAAGAAAAAGGATTCGCTCTGCAATTGCAAATGGGGAAGCTCAGACATTGCAAATTCAAGTCCTCCTCCTCCAGCCCTTCTCCCCTTCCTATGAAAGAAAGGCTGTTCCCACTGGAAATTCAACATTTTGCTGCCAAAAGGGAGCCAAGGCAGGGTACAGGCATCTGCAGTGAAGCGGTGAGGGGCATCAAAAGAGGAGCCTGGAGATACCAAATCGCTTGTCCAGCGATGGCAAAACCTTCCCAAATTCCATCCCCGCTCCCCAGGCACCGGCTGCTGCCAGCACACGGATGGCAATCGCTTCAAAAGGGGGAAAGTTCGGGGACTGAGCAGCCATCTGTGCCGGGGCCAGACAGCGGCCAGGCTGGGCAGAGGGGCCTGGCTGCTCCCCGTCGGGAAGAAAGAGCTCCAGCCTTGCCAGGCTCAGTTTTAGACCGAGAATTGCTCAAGCAGGGCTGGAGCCCGGCACCAGATCCAAGCATCTTCACGTATCCTGGGAAAGCAGGGGGAACGGGGTACCGCAAAAGGCATTTCACAGTGAAAGCACTGCAGAACTAGTAATTAATTAATCCTCACGGCAGCCCTGCAAGCCAGATCAGGTGTAATTAAGCCTTGGTTTTATAGCTGGGGAAACTGAGGCATGAGGTTGCAGCTCTAGGAATAACTCTGCAGATGCTGGGGGTGTTTGGAAACAGAAGTTTGTCACCTCGTAGATTATAAATCCAGCAGAAACCACCATGACCATCGTGCCTGTCCTCCTGCCTAATGCATGCCAGGATCTGGCCCTCGGCTCTTTCCTGCTGCCAGCCAAACGAGTGAGTTATCTCCCAAGCTAAACCCACAGCCGACAAAATGCTCCTTACGCTCAAGGACATCCATGCCGCCGCAGGGGGATGGCAACCCAATCCAAGCCTTTTGCAAAAGGATCCCGATTTTAATCAGCAGAGCCACCCACCCTGCACCTCCTTGACCTGCAGCTGGGACGGGACGATGGCAAAGCCAGGCTCTGCATTGTTCCCAGCAACAAACCCCAGCAAACCTTACAAATGGAGTCTGCAACCATGCTTAACAACAGCTCTTTGGAAACCCCCTACAGATACGCTTATTTTTCCCCTTAAATTACAACTTGCCTGCGAGCAACCAGCCAGAAAGAAAGGAAGAAAGAGAGAAAAGGAAGTGATTCCTCCCCATTTTGCCGCCGTTATTCCCCCCTCTGAGGTAGACGTCGATTGGGTGGGGATGAACCGCTGGAGAGTGGTTATTCATTTGGCGGGTGAGCCCGTGGCATCCTCGCCATCCTGCCCCGGCGTTGCCGGCGTGGTGCATCGCCGCCAAGCCCGTCCCGGCACGGCTCAGCACTGCCGCAGCATGCAGGCGGCGGTGGCTGGCGGTAGCCCCGGCGAGCTGCATTTCTCCGGAGCGGTGATTTTACCGGTGTAATCGATGCAAGAGGCGTTGCGTGTCCGCACACCCTCGCCACAAGTTTGGGAGCAGGGAGACCAGGGACCCAGGCGCCAGAGCGGGCAGGGGACGTCTCCGCAGGGCTTGATGTCCTCGGGCTTGAGGGCTCTGTCGCAGGTGGAGGAGGTTTGACCCTCCATGTCCCGGCAATCCACCGTCCGCCTCTGCCAGCCGGAGCCGCATGTCTTGGAGCACTCGGACCAGTCGCCCAGGACCCACTGGGAGGTCAGCATTGGTCGGATAACGTTGGCTGACTTCTTCTCTTTGCCCTTCTGCTTGCTGAAAGGGACGTCCTTGGGGATGAAGAAGGTGTACTTGACTTTTGGTGGGAAGACCTCGCTGGCAATGGTCAGCAGCTGGACAGTCAGGGGCTCTGGGAGCTGTCGGAAGCTCTGCAGCCTCTCCAGGGTCGTCATGGAGCCGCTGTATTTCAGGATGGTCCCCTTAATGAGGATGTCCTGCTCCATGGCCGAGATGGCAAAGTCTCCATTCAGCAGGTACTTGCCCTCGAGGGTCCTCAGGGCCAGGTAATTCCCATCGTGACGGACCCCGCGGTGGCTGCGCTGTTTGATGTCGATGTTGGTTGCTCCGGCAGGGATGGTGACGATGTCGTTGTAGCCGTATCTGCACAGGGCAAAGGGACACGGTTATTTTCCTGAACTTATTAAGAGGAGAGCCATGCAGGGGATAGCACTTTGTGAGGGGGATCATGGCTCTGAAGTCATCTTTCTGTAACCCACAGTGCTCAAGAGCTGCAAATATTGCAGTCGTGCCAGATGTGTGCTTGGCTAGAAGATTTTGCTGAATTACATGCAAAAATGAGTGATGCAATTAAATGAACAGCCCTGCGGTTAGCAGCCTTGGTGGGAAATTCCCGTTACTCCCTTTTCTTTTGAAATGGCTGCAGTGTTTGGGAGTAAAAGCCTGGCTCTGCCCAGTGATGCTGAAGATAGATATAGAACAGCAGAACAGGAGGGAGTTGGGGCACTGCTGGCATTGTATGCGCGGAGGATATGTACATCGGCCAGATGTTGCTGCCAAAACCAGATCAGCAGTTAAACAGTTAACCCAACAGACATCTCCTATTGGAGATGACTTGATATCAACTGGAAAGCCTTTCCTAGAAGACAGCAAGTACTACGGCAGCAAAACCATCCCCCTATCCATGGGCAGGCGTCTCTGCAGCCTGGGCTCATCTTTGGAGGGGTTTTGCAGCCATCACCACGATGCAGAAGAGCTCCTGTTGGAGGGCACAGAGCACATTCCCACGCCGGGGGGGGATCTCCCTGCAAAGCCAGCCAGAGCCCATCCCCGGAGCACCACGGCTCCTGGGACAGCACCGGGAAGGCTTCGCTACTCGAGCCCTCAGCACCCAGTGCTATGGCAATTACTTGCTACTATAATAAAACGTCACCCTGGCGTGGTGCACGCCGTGGGGCTGGCAGGGTCATTTTCCACGCATCCCCACAGTTGATGCTGTGGTCGGTAATTAGGTTTAGAGTATTTTGGAACAAAGCCTTTGGGTCAAACTCTGCTCTCAGTCACCCTGGCCTCCCTAACCCTGATCTTAATGGGATCTCTTCTTGGCTGTAGCTACCAGGCTAATCTCTCTTTAGTCAACCACAAACAATTCATAGGAGAGTGGAAGCCCCATTTCAGCTGACTCCCTGGAAGGAAACCATTTAGGAAATCTAATTTCACTGCGTGAGTCACCTCGCCGCATGGAATTGGATGCATTGGGCTTTTGTTACGATCTTTTCAACAAAAGCCTTGAATTCAGCTCTTTGGCAAAGCAATGGAGCTCTTGGGTGAAGGAACCGGCTACCTCGATGCCCGTGTCCCAGGACTGAAATTCACCCAGGGAAAAGTTATTAAACTATTTATATCCCACATCAGCCCTCGAAATATGTGTCCAGCTTGCTGCATTGGGATGAGATGCATATTATAAACTCCTCGGGGCAGCAGATTTACTTGCAGTGGCGTACCGAGCCCATTGCCAGTGTCAGCACCAGCTATTATTTTAGGAAATAAACTCTGCTTGGCTTGCAGAATGCTGCCCCGAAATAAACTTAGCATAAGCTCCTGAGTTTGGGGAGGAGACCAGGCTGTTGCAAGGCCACCCAGCTGAGGGTGTCTGCACGGCTGCAAACCCCGGTTAACGGCACGGAGGGGAAGGCAAGCACTTCTCGAGCCCGGCTGCTGTAAACAAGGTCTGTAGCTAGGTGCGATGCTTCAGGTGCGGAAAGCAAACTGGCTTTACGTGACCTAGGAGGAGTCCTAATATTCCTAGCCTAGCACTTTTGCAATAAAAAAAGAAGAAAGGAGAATGAGAGGGGAAGCTGGTTTTTCATCCCCCAGCCCATCTCTGCCAACCCCTTCTCCGCAGTGCCTTACTTGGATCGGTTGAGCGAGCCGGATATTTTCCTGCAAGTTGAGCCGTTGCCGCCGCACACCCCGCACTTGTCCAGCTTCTTGGACGACCCGACTACGTGATCGCAGCCAGCCTTGATGCACTGGCCATGGACGCAGATGGAGAGGGTCTCCGGTCCGCACAGCGTCCCATCGATCACCTAGGAAAGGGGGGATGCAGAGGAGCAATTAGGGCATTTGACCTGAAATGGGGTAAGGAGGGGCGATTATCATCACCAAATATCTTACTTTGGCCTCAAAGACTTTAAATTCGCTCCTCCCTCTGGCTCGGCAAAAAAGCTTGCATCGGTCTCGGGGTGACACTCCCGCATATTTGGGAACCCACTCCAGGAGATTCCCTTCTAGATCTGTAAAGTTGTAGCTGTTGTACTTCTCACACTGCTGCTCCCGAAAGCTTTTCCCTGAAAGGAAAGGCAAAACGTGACCCAAAACCACGGGAAGCTGGCAGGAACCACCGTCCTCCTCGGCTGTCGCAGAGATGCAGAAGTGAGCCGAGGATAGTGGCAGTGCGCGGCAAGCGCGCGACGAGTGTGCAAGCAGAGGAGGGCTGCCACACACCTCCCACCCAGCCGCAGGGGACCACCACCCCCGGCAGAAGGCTATGGCCCGCCCCAAAATACGAATATCGAAGGGAGAGTGGAGCAATCCCTGGCAACAGGTTCCGGAGAAATGGGGGCAGGAGGCGAGCATGCATTTGTGTGGATGGGTGGCTTTGCAAAGCTGGGCTTACCGTCCGGCGGGCACTCGTTGGTGTGGCAGGACTGGTACTTGGCACGCTGGCCCTCGCAGTAATTGCCGCCGTGCTGGGGCTTGGGGCTGTCGCAGTGGCGGTAGGAGAACTGCACGCCGCCGCCGCAGGTCCGGGGGCAGGAGCCCCCGGGGCTCCACCGGGCCCCGCCCC